TTTCTAAGGTATCTGCTGCCTATGTTTGCTTGTTTCACTCTTTAAAGATCAAAAGCACTAACATAGTAGAAACAGAGCAGTTTTTGACCCATAAAGAAGAACCAGCACTGGTAGAAAAACAAGGGCAACAGCAATAATGAACCAAAAGGTGCATCTTTCCTAGTGTCTGTAGTTCCTTACTCTTCCATCTTATCCTCCTAACTCGATTTTTACTTCTTTGAGGCAAGGCATATATCTCAGCAACACTGCCAGAGCCAACATAATGAATGTTAGAGAAGTGAATGCAAATTTCTCACTCTTACCTCCCATCTCCTCACACAGTGGTCCTAGAATAGAATCCCTCCAGTAGTTTTGTGTCTACATGCACAGAGCAGACAACTTTGGGCAGATTTTGATGTGGGCTTTGTTGAAATGAGTGCCAGGCTTTGCCTGTCCGAGGCTCTTCATGGAATCCTGCCATGGCTGTGGGAAGGAAACCTACTTGGTATTCTCTTGGGGATTTGACCACCTGGTCACATTCCAGGCCTCCTTGGGGTAAGGACGAAATCATCTTAAATGTCCTTTTTTTCCCCTACAAGGGAGGAGGAGATGGATCACCAAAATCTCAACGAAAATGTAGGTCAGGCTAATGATAGCCCCTTCTTGGTCCTCCCTTTCTCTTGTTGGGTAAATAAGAAACATTTATGAAACAAAGGAAAAACAAAAGGAAGGAAAATGAAATTTAGGCAGTGTTCTTTGAGATATTTTTAGTCTCACCATTAAAGAGTGGTGAAGAATAAGAAAAAATTTCCACTAATGCAAAAATTTCCACTAACTACGCAAGAAGCATTTCTCAGGGTCTAATATTTATGTGGTTTGCTGTGTTGGGGTTTCATCTACCAACCACCCATACAATAGGTGCTGTCCCCCCACCACGGAAACAGGGGTAGCCTACTAGAAGGCCCCTAGCTAAACAGCCTTCAGGTTAATGCAGAACCTGCACATCAGACACCCAGCAAGGGTTTGTCACATGGACCTCAGTGAATCTATCAGGAAGTCATAAGCTGGCGGCAAGAGGACAGTGGTTGAGAAACATGAAGCAGGACAACACAGAGCCCAATTATCACAGGAAAGTATTACTTTGGCTACTTGGTCAATTAGACCCAAGTGAGTCTGCTGAGTAAGGCTCCTAATTCTGAGCTGGTTTTGGAGGCATTTCATGATTCACACCCAAATCGTACAAGATGAAAGGGAAAAGAGTGGATAAAATCAAGCCAAACACTAAGTTTGGGGAAAAGATTTTTATTGGACAAATTAGAAAAATATTGGTATTGTGCTTCAGAAAAACCCACTTCTTTCGTCTGGCTTTAGGGGCAGTGACAACCTCAGTGGCAGCTGGAGAGGGAACATGAGTTGTTCAAAGGGAGCTTGCTCCATCCTCCCCATGCTGGCCACAACCCCACACTGACACTCACTGTGCTAATCTGGTAGCTTTGGCCAGAGTAAAGGGCAGCATCCATTTATATAAAGCATTCATTGTTTGACGGGGCTTGGGAGAAGGTGAGTGGGGCTTGAATGAGAATTCTCTGCCTAAGTAGTTAGGGAAGTTACTAGTAGCTAGCTGGCTGCTCCTAGCTGTGCTCTGAGTCTAGCCAAGAGAGATAAATGCCTAACACAGATACCAGATTGTTAGAGGAAGTACAGAAGTTGCTAGATTCTCCAGAAGGTCCCAAAGTAAGTGGCAATGAAAACAGTGTATATGACGTGTCCCTTCATTCATCTTCTTCTTAGTTTTTGGAAGGGGAGGAGTGGGCAGCTAGAGTTGGAACTCAGGGCCCCCACGCTTGCTACGCAAGTACTTTACCACGGAGAAACACCTCTAGCCAGCCATTTTTTTTTTTGCACTGGTTATTTTGAGACCAAGCCTCACATTTATTTTTTTTTGCCTGTTTGTGCCTGTGCCTGGATCACAACCCATCTATTTTTTGTTTTCTATCATAGCAGGATGTTGCTGCCCAGACCTGCCTGAACTATGGTCCTCCTAATTTCAGCTTCCTACATAGCTAGGATGGCAGGCTCATGCCACCACATGCAGTTATTGGTTGAGAAGGGCTGTCATGTGAGTGTTCAGGCTATCTTCTATAATCTGCCCAATCTCAGCATTACAAGTAGTTAGGATTACACGGAACCACCAGTACCCAGCTCATTCCTTTATCTTGTGTGTCCCTACTATGTACTAAGCAGACTGGTGGTAGGGGAGAAGGGAAAAACACAGAAACAAGTGCCCAAAGCAGTAATAAACAACCTTCATGCATTATCTACAAGGGCTGACGTTTAACTATCTTGCTTCAGTTTCTATGGCTTCTAGTATTGCTATTACTGCTACTCAGAAACAAACAAAAAGCCTTTGGTTTCCAGACAAAACAGGGCTGATGTGTTGGCTTACACTATATTCTGGACCAGGCAGGTCAAGATTGTTAGAGAATAAAAAAGAAAATAGCCCAAGTGTATGTGTACATGAGTGTCCGACACATACACAGTCCTTTGTCAAAGCTTATCACAGCAAGCTGAACCAACTAAATAATCAAAATGTGTTCTTTAGTGTCTTTAGGTATCCAGCATCAACAAGTCCACCCAATTATTCTAACAGGACCAGCACTGCCTCTACCATGCCAGGGGAAGATTCTTCCTTCATATTATCCCATTTACTCTAGTGGCTAAGCTGCAGATATGTACACTACAGTGATGGGAAAATGATCAGGACAAAGAGGCTACATGACTTGCCCAAAGTCACAGAGCCAGGATGAAGCAGAACTAGAAGTTCAAGACAACCTCTGGGGATTTTGAAGGTGAATCCATTCTGTTTTGCAGCTGTCTTTTGCTCAGAAGAAAAATGCAAAATTCAAAGTAGAGTCCATGTGCACTTACCGATCACCTGCAAGTGGGTTAATTTACATAATCCTCTGTGGTGAAGTCCCCTAAAATAGCTCCTAAGAATGGAATCTCATGGTCTCAGAGTCAAAGCCAGATGATGGGACATTTAGACAGCTCTTGGGCCTGGCCATTCTTTATGGCCTTGTCATAGCTTCCATTCTAATAAGGGAGATGTAGGGTGTTTTCTTGAGCCACTCCACATATAGAAACTTGACCTTGGCTATCACTTTTGGTGAAGCCATTCAGAAAAGGGTATGAATAGTGATAAGCATACAAATTTCTTGGATCTGTAAGTATTCATTCTGTCAAGAGACAGACTGTCAGCTGTGCAGATCCGCTTTTCCAGAGGCCTTTCAGCAGCCTCCTTTGTGTCCGAAGCTCTGGAAAGTGCATCAAATGGATGGCCTATTTGCAAACTGACAATTTGCACCATGATAGGGAGATATAAATGACTACAAGGACATTGTGTGGAGGGCTGCTGATTATTTCCATTGCTGCACAAACAGGAAAACCACTGTGGTAACTTCTGACATCCGGATCCATTTCCTTCATTCTTAAAAGCTGATAAATAGGATATAGATTCATTAGCAGAGATTTGGGCTTAATTATTTCATTTACTCTGTTCCATTCCAGTTAGGAATACATAATCACCAGGAGCCTATACTTACTCAGCCACAACCAAGACTATAATTCCTACTATGTCCTGCAAACAACACCCCTGGACCACATGGAGGTGGCTAATACCCTAAGCTTTTTAGACTCAAATGTATCCTTAAAAAGTTAACTTTTTTTCAATTATCCATTTTTAATAATTATGAGTCACATTTGGAATGAGCTAATTCGGTCCTTTTCTGATAAAAAGATTGCCACAGTCAAATATTAGCATGTCTCATCTGAAAGCATGCATATGGAGTCCACATGATGTGCTCACGACTCCATTAATACCAGGGCGATTAGAGCGAAGTTGGATGAAGACGGCTCCCTCACATGAAATGTTTTTAAACAATGATGCAAGCGAGAAAGGAACTGGACCCCAAGACAGTTTGCCAACAAACATTTGCATAGCAGGCTCTGTTGCTATTTTCTAATTCTGATGAAAGGGATAAGGACTTGGAGGGAGGAGCAAGTACACATGCATTAATATGCATGCATCTGTGTGTTGTGTGTGAAGATGACGTACATATTATCAACTTAGAAGGACATATTCACTATATTACTCCAAATATGTTGTCTTCTTTAACATCAAGCTAAACATATACACTATACACGATCGACCAGAAGGCTCTTTTGCAACAAATTGTAACCCAGAATGGCAAGTAGGTGGCGCACTTGCTACCAGTACCCACCCCCCACAGTGGGGCAGGTCCCCTCCAATGAGACTAGCTGCCTGTCAGAGTCCTCATTGTCCTCAACACAGTGCTCAAAGCAACCTCTACCAGGGAATAGGGCTTGATGCAATCTATCCTGAGTTTCCTAACCCACTCTCAGCAAAAGTGGAAAAGATGCTGAGAGAAGCAAAGAGCTTTCACACTCTCTATAGTGCAACTGGCATGGCTTAGGTAGGAAATGGAGAGCAATTTCTCCTGTTTGAAATTCAATGGAAAGGGTGTTTCATAGGCACTGGGCTTCTGTAATGTAATCTGAAGGCACCTCTCATTGTAATGAATTTTCAGCAGTCCATGTCTAATTCCTAGTATCAGGTGTCACTTGGAGAAGTAGGTTAAGGGCTGGAGCATGTGAGTCTACACATTTATTATATAAAAGTATCCTTCATAAAGAATTTAAGCTGTCTAGAATTAAATAATTTCCACACTGATAGACATTTTATTCATATTGTTAGATATTTACTAAAATACATTTAAATATATGGTTTTTTTAATATGAACACACAAGAGAAAATATATACCTATCCTAAATTATTGGTGTTCAGTCAAAATACTAGTTATGTGCTATTAAATAATCTTTACAATACTATGAATGGAATGACTTCAATGTAAAAACTGCTACAAAATATTGCCATTGTATGGCTGAAGAAAATCCTTTAACATTCATAAAAGGAGAAATGCAAGAATGAACATTTCTCTTACCAGCGGCCTGAGTTCCGGGTGCGTCAGGATATATCCATTATTTGTGATTGCAAAGGCATAACCGTGAATCCCTAACTGTTAGAGGAAGCAGGAAAGAAACCTTCATTAGTTTTCTCCCTGGTGAATTCACAAGGCATAAAGCAGCCCAACGTTTAGTAATTTACAGCTTAAACTTGGCATTCATAACCCTTATCAGTACAATATTTCATTAAAATGAATGCAAGGCACTGATCCTTGACATTTGGTAGAAATGAAGACCTGTCACAGATAAGCTCAGCGAATAGCACAATTTAAAATGTCACATCCCCACGTTGGCATCCACGGGCTTTATTTTGACTTATATAAGACAAAAATAAACTCAATTATTTTCTTTAACAATAAATTGACTAATGCATGTGGAAAGGCTGTATGGCTAAGTGAGCAGAATGTTATCAATCAGGCTGTCTTCTGACCAGGAAGAAGGAAGAGGGGCACTCACTCTGCCCGAAGCGTCCTTCAATCCCAAACCCCCAGGCATCATGTCAAACACACTCTCTCCTGGCCTGTCATTTTCCATAATTTCCAAGGATAAAAGTGTCCCCAGCAGCCTATAGAGGAGCCAGACAACCCCTTTATAGCCTCTCGTCTTTAAATTGTGTGGCTGCCAAGCTTTTCCATGCAGGCTTCCTCCAACACAAAGCCTGGGTAATTTTCTATGAGAAGCTTCACTTAATTTATGTTTTCTGACTACATGGGACTATGGGAAATAGTTTGCGAGCAATGAAATGTTTTATTAGCTTTAAAAAGTATGTAATCAAATTTAACACTGCACTTATTTAAATAATAATCCCAGCTTTTTGACAATATTTCTATTACACAGTTGACTGCACCCATTGGCTACAATAAATTTACCTACAAATCATTCATGTATTAAAATGGCCCCTGGCATAAAACCCACACTGATCTCTTCCTCTAAAGAAAGAAAATGTAACCTACTTTTGCTAAATCAGTGGAAAGGGAGAGGAAGAAAATTCTCTTTTTTTTTTCCTGAGGAGTTATTTCACAGTTCTGAGCCCTCACTGTTATTTTTCTTTAAGTTCTCTGCCACTCACATTCTTGAATATGATACTATTAAATGATCCAGACAAGAGAGTTTACAAACCAGGAGTGACCCTGTCTGCTTGTTAGCTTAACGTCAAGGTGATGTGAAGTTAACTTCGAGAATTTAACACCAGCAATTAAAAGTTTCCGTTGCATTACATAAAGCAAATATGCACATATTTAAGGGCAACAGACATTTCTCCCCAAGTTACCTTGCCCCGCAAGTCTTAATAAGATTCTACCTGACTCAAACGATAAAAGTATATTTCATTATGCTGTGAAAGATAAACCAGAGATTTCCTATCCTTTGAGATGTATATCATCTCTTTCATCTTGTCTCTTGGAAAAATGTCAGACACAGTCAACATTGCATTAATTAACATTATTAAGTCCCAGTTTAATATGGGCTGGAGGGGTCAAAAAGGATTCTGAGAGTTTGACTTATTCCATTAAAGGCAAAAGTAGGATTTGATTGAAATTTCAAACTTAACAGCAGACCAAACAAATGATATTTTATAGTTAGCTAATGTAGTCAGTGTCTGTTTCTCTTTGTATTTTTATTAGCATACATTAATTGGTCTGTTCTAATGTATATGACTTTGGTTCTTGTTTGGCTTGTGGGTTTCACAAGAAGGTAAGACTCTTTTTAATGCCCTATATTTTTTTCTTATAGTATTTATCAAAATAACTATGTGAGGTTTGTTATCAGTCATCAAGATGCCTGTCTATATAACCACCAGAAAATAAGTTCCATGACAGCCAATGTTATATCATAGAGTTAAAAAATATATGCAAGGGTGGTTGGGATAGAGGAAGGTCGAGAAGGGGTGGGGGAAGGAAGAGAAGGAAGATACAGGAACAAGAAAAGACATAGAATTTAGCATAGGTTCTATAAAGCTAAGTCTACTCTGTTTCCTTCTCTGGAATGCAGGAGAACTGATCTTCCTATCCCAATGTCTTCACTCCCTGTCCACTTTCCCACTCTGCTTCCTTACTGTCTATGGTCTTTCATGCTTCAATCCACAGAACTCTTGACTCTGGCCTTCTGCCACTCTTGGATGTCACCACAACTCCATTCTCCACAGTGCCACTGGCCTCCTAATTATCTATTCCTAGGGCATTCTCTCTTGAGTGCACACTCCTGGTGTTATTAGCTGACAGTTGCCTCCTCCTGACCCTGTAACCTCAGCCTCCAGACCCCATTCTCCTGAGCTTCCCCCCTTTACCCTTTGCCATTTCTTAATCACTCATCTTTACACAGATCCTATCCCAGGGGCTCTTGTCTGCCATAACTTTCCTATTTCCAGATAAAGTTCAGCAGCCACCGATGTGCTATCATCTCCAGATTTCTGTTACCCAGTCTGACCCCTCAGTGGCAGTTCATATAGTCCGTGGTCCTTTCTTTCTGGCCATGTGTCAGGCTCACCCAGACGAATGAATGTCCTGTCTCTCCCCACTCTTCTTTCTCTCTGACCCTCAGTAAGTTGCACATGCCCCTCCTCCCCTGCCAAGCTGGAGTTAGTAGCTAGAGCATTCTCCTTAGTGTCTTCATTTCATCCCTTAACCTATAAATCATAAAATCTTGCTCTTTTTCTCAGGCATTTCTCAGACTCAACTCTGTCTCTTCACCGTACTGTATCAATTCAATGGATTTTCACCGTGGTACTAAGTGCTCTTCCAGCCTCAGACTGATCAAAGTCAAAAGTAACTCTGGCCATGTACAGGCCCTAGGTAAGATCAACAAAAGGCCCCTTTGTGTGTGAGACAGTTCCTGAAGCCTTCCCTAAGTCCTCATACTACCTTTCTTCATTCACTGCTTCTCAGAACATGGGACAGCCACAAGCCCTCCAATTTTACCTCTTTCCTGCTAACTCACGAGTGAATTCTCATCCCTGCTATAAGCCCAAACTCAGCATCACTGGCTACTTTGGAGGCAGGGATCAGGGGATCATGGATCAAGGCTAACATACAAAAACTCTGTGAGACTCCATCTAAATTAATGGCTGCATACAATGGTACATGCCTGTTATTTCCAGTCAAACAAGAAAACATATGTAGGAGGGTTACAGCTCAGGCTGATCAGGACAAAAAGCAAGATCCTACTTAAAAATAAATTGTACAAAAACAGGGATGAAGGTGTGGGTCAAATGGCAGAGTGCCTGCCTAGCAAGAATGAAGTCCTGAGTTCAATTCCCAGAGATCCACCTGCTCCACTAGTTTCTGATGATCCTCTTGTTGGCTCTCTCCTTCCCATTCCATTTCCAAAAAGCCTGAGCACATTTTCATTACTACCTTTAACCCAAGGGGTAAAATGTTACGCACTTTCTCGCCTTTCAACCCAACCTAGTTCTCCTTGCTCTATAATGCACTAAGTCACATGGTAGATGAAACCTTTTTCATGTGCCAGTGGCTCATTTGTGGACTGGAGCCACCTGACTTTACTTCCATAGATCATAGATCAATGTCAGGCATGTGCCAGATATTTAGATAAAGTCTGCATATATTTAAGACATTTATAACTTTACTCAAATATTATCTAGTAGTTCATCTTGGAAATCTGAACCAAAGTACACATTAAACATGAGCCAAAAAGGGCCAGGTATAGGGGCTGATGACTGTAAACTCAGCTAAGTGGGAGTTAAAGCCCAGGAGGATCATGGTTCAGGGACAGACCAGGCACATAGGTGCAGGGATGCACACTTAGGGAAGAACAAGTAGAAGAACTGAAGGAAAGAAATAAGACCCATGGGGGAGGAAATGTGAGATCCTACCTGAAAAATAATCTATTAACGAGAAGGGCTAGAAAATGGTTCAAATATAGCATGCTTATCTAGTTGAACACAAATTCAAATTTCAGTATACCTTCCTCCCTCACCAAGGTCCAAAAAAAGCTGATCTCCTCTGGTATATGCATAACCAGACCTTCTCAACCCTCTAGCTGAGACTTTTCCTGACATTCAGAAGCCTTGGAGTTAAAACCTTTCTCATAAGAACATTCTAGAAAAATGGCATACAGATTGTTATATGTGTTGGCTGGTGGTTCTTTATATCACCTCAGAAAGGTATGGGAGAGGAGAGTAAATACATCCCATGGATGAATTTAAGAATCAAACCTTAAAATGACAGTGACCAACCTTTGGACTTGGCCACAAATCAGTATGCTGGTGAAATCGCTAACTCTTGTTTCATCCGAAATGGAGCCAGTCTTCCTGTCCATTGCATGTGCAATCCCGTGGAGTAATAGAGAACAGATTGGACACGAGGTCTTCCAGCATGTGGGGTTGGGCTGCCAAATGGGCCCTGCTGCTCACTCCCCTGGAGGCCAGGAGCTGTGCAGGGGCCCCCAGTCTGGAGAGGAGCACTTCCCTTCCAAGAGGAGAGCCTTCGGGCTAGCAAAGTGAGCCCAATTATACAATGGCTCGTTATGGTAACAGAGGCCATGGTGTCTGGAAATTATTGTTGGGTGTCTGGAATTCTTAATAAAAATTACAGGAAGTCTGATTGCTTGTGGGAAAATCTATGAAGCTAAGGGAGAGAAAAAGAATAATATCTTCTGGGAAAACCCCAAGAGCCAAGAGCTGACTCATCTATACAAGGTGTTAATGAGGAGGGCAAGGTGTGACCAGGACTCTGTTCCCAGGAGCTCTCCTCTCCTTTATTTTTCGCCATTGCAATCCCAGGCAGACAGGACATCTTTCTTAAGGATCTTTATGGAGCCACACAAGGGGCAGTATCTTAGGTCAATGTACCACATATTAGTGTCCCTGGTTCCCATCCTGACACTTGAGAAAGCATAAAAACACAAGTACCTGTGCTTGGAACTTTGCTAGTTACTTTCCCAAAGATGATCTACATCTATTCTGTCATCACACTTTGTCTCATTCATCTTTTACTCTGTGAGTGATGTTGAAAGAGTCATTTTAAATTTTCTTAAACAAATGGGGAAAATGGTGCCCACTTCATGGGAGTGTAATAAAGGTTCAGTGAAATAACGCATGTAAACTATTTTGGACAACACTGGACACACAGTAAGAAGTCAAATATGTATCTCATCACATTATAATTATTACAATGGCTTTACTTTAACATTGTAACTGTTATTTTCCCACTAATATCGCCGTCATAGATATATTGTTCCTAGTGATCTTGGAGCTAGAGAGGCTAAAATTATGGTTCCCCTACTTTCAAACTAAGAAGCAAGGCAGGATGCTTTAGCTTTCTGTGCCTCCAATTTTTCAGTTGTAATATGGGTTAAAACATATCTGCCTATTCTTAATACATAATGTTATAGAGAACTTACTGCCTCATCTTGTGGAGGAAACAGTAAGGAACTGATCCATGGGATAACTGTTATTATTTCATTTTATAATCATTCTTCTTTGATTTATTGGACATATATAAAGTAGTATTCTGTTGTTTGTGTTTCCTGTATTTCCTCATGTGAAATAAGAAAAATGCAATAATTACTTGGAAGTATTATCTGTAGCTAGATATCTTAAATTGTGGGCTAGCAGTTTTGGAGACCTATGTCTGAGAGTTTCAAGAAATGTGAAGCCTGCTCTCGTTAGAGGCCACAAAGCCTCCCTCCTCCCAACTTTGGCTTTCTTTTCTTTTCTTGTTCATGAACTCCAGGCCTTGGGCTTTCCCTTGGCTTTTTTACTCACAACTGGCATTCTACTTCTAGCATTTCATTGGAAATTAAGGGCCCCAAGGACTTGTTTGCCTGGGCTGGTTCAAATATTGATTCTTATATCTTAGCTTCCTGAATAACTAGAATTATAAACATGAGCCACCAGCACCTGACATCACTCTTGGCTTTCATTTTCTGAGGACCTATCATTCCCAATAATTACATGAGTTTGGACCAACTAGAAGACCTATTGTCCTGCTGTATCTCTGGAAACTTAACTCTAATTAATGGGTGAGGCTGTCTATATCCAGTAGATAGAACAGAACCTAAGAATTTGAGGCACTTGTATCTGCCAGCTTAACAATGAAGTTAGAAACCTCCAAGGTTTGCTTTAGAACTACTGTCTTCCTCTACCTGAGGCCCAGCAAGGCTGATGGGCCTCTGAAAGATCAGCAAATCAGGTATCTGGACCTCAGCAAACAGGGAAGGTAACTTAGGAAGGGGTCTCTGGCATCCAGCAACACCAGATTCCTAGCCTTCCTCTACACAGAGAAAGAGGGAGCTCCCATGAGTCAAAGTAGGCCTAATGGGGCCAAGCTACACAGGCTGCTCAGTTCTACAGAGAAGTGAGTGAAATGGTCAACCCCTGTGTAGTTAGTAAAGACCTTTAACTAGTGGACCCTTGTAACCTGGCTACACTCTAACCCCACCTATACCCCCACACTCAAAACAGCCTGGGAGAGCTCTGTGTGTCGCTATTGGTTCTCCAGGGACTTCTCCCTTCCCACTTGTTGGTTTGCTTCCTTCTCTACCAGAGAGCAAGAGGGAGTTTTCTGCAGAGATCCAAGGACTCTCCATTTTATTGATTTATTTACTTACTTACTTACTTATTTGGCAGTATTGGGGCTTGATCTCAGGCCCTTGTGTGTTTACTAGGCAGGCACTAGAGTGACATACCCCAGCCCTTTTTCACTTATGTTATTTTTCTGAATAGGGGCTTATGTTTATACTGGGTATGCCTGGAATGTGATCTTCTTATTTACACTTCTTGAGTAGCTGGGATGACAGACAAGGGATGTGACACTCAGCTTTCTATTTGTGGAGATGGATTTCATGAACTTTTTTGTCTGCGATAGCCTTGAACCAAGATTTTCCTGATCCCTGCCTTCCAAGTACAAGCATGGTGTGAGCCACGATGCTTTCTTTTGGGCCATCTTTTAAAAAGGCAAAGCAGTTATGTTCACACCTGTATAATGCCACTAAAATGAAATAATCTCATCAAAACTCAGACTTTCACATGAATTAGTAAGTTGAGGTTAGTATAGTCAGTAAAGAAGAACAGTGTGAATTTAAAATTTAAAAATACATGCCAAAGAACTCTGAAGGTAGTACAGAGAGGATTTGGTAGAAATAGGAAGAACTCTGCTCTGAAAGCAGATGGAGCTTAGGACCTGATTTCTGGGGAAGTGATACTCCTGGTTTCTATTAATCTGAATGTGTTGGTAAGGTTGTACATTACCTTGTATTTGGGAATGGTCTTCAGAAGTTCCTTCACTGGAACGTCGGTACCAACCACACCTAGAAGAATGCCCTTTGATCTCTGTTGAGAACAAACATTGAACAATAACAACAGGAAGTTAATTGAACTGAAAATATAGGAATTAATGAGAAGTCACTTGCCATAGATCACCGATCAGCTAGACCAACAGAGATGGAGATTGAGGATTTACCCATGTCTTCAAGAGAGACTTTTATCCTCTACCTTCCACCCAATATATTACTTGCCAAGATGGGTAGTGTGTCAGACCAAACACTAAAACATTCATAACACCAACTGTGATGCCTTATTTTTCTCCTTCCTAAAAATTAAAAAATGATGGGAAGGAACACAACAGATTCAGCAGCTGAGGGCTATGATCCTATGCCAGTTTCTCTTAGAAATGTTTTCTACAGAAAAGACAGCATGGTAGTTTCTTTCTCAGTTTATGCTGCCTTGTAATTTGGAGTTGGAACCAAGGATGGAGGTGAAGGAACAAGCCTCCAGAATCCTAATTCCTCAGGCAGTGATCACTATGGTTTGCTGCAATTTCCAATATCTGAAAGGCCATCTGAAAGAATACACAGATTGCTTCTCTTGGTTATTTCTTTGAGGCTTGTCAAGTTTGAATAGGGTCTCAGTAAATTCCTGTTTATTCAGTACTTCTGAATGTAAAGTGATGTAGAACTAACGAAGATGGAATAGCTAAGGACCGTTAGATGAAGTTGCATGAAATTGTAAGATGGATTTGGGGTGGTACCTAAATTAATAACTGGCCGTCTCACAAGAGAAGACCTACAGAGACATGACAGAAGAAGTCTTGTGAAAACAGAAGCAGACATGGGAATGATGCTGCCACAAGCCAAATGTTGCATGTGGTCCCAGAACCTGGGAGATGCAAGCATTCTGCTCCAAGCCTTTGAAGGGAACATCTTAATTTCAGACTGCCAGCCCGACAACTGTGAAGAAGTAAATGTCTAATTTTCAGTTTACCGAAGTTGGAAAAGTACATAATAACTCTGGGAAATTAATACAAAGGAGATAATTGTAAAGCAAAGCGAGGTCAGCCTACTACGATCAAGTATTCTTGAATTGCTTCTCTGACCATTTACCATTTAAAGTTGGACAGGGGCTAAACAGCTAAGAACTCTAAAATGATGCCACTGGAAATCCTTTCCATTTCTGATTTGATTAGTCTCACAGTAGGATAAAACAGTAAGAAAAGCTTCTCTTCAGTCTATGTTTAGGGGGAAAAGAAGTGATCAGAGCCTGACTGAGAAGAGGTCTGAGAAAGAAGCCTTTGTGTCAAGCAGGAAGCAGAGCCCCCATACTCACGGTTTCATTCTGCTTACTGAACACAGGCATGGCCACGGTGGTCATCAAGACGAGGCCCTGATCATCAGCAAGCTGCATGGAGAAAGAAAAGAGGGTTACTGAGGGTGCTGTGGAACCTCAGAGTGGAGGATGCCGCTGCCCATCATGTCCTCTCTACTCAGATGCTGTGGAGGAAAGCTAGCACTCACAGGAGCCTTTAGCTGGGAAGAGCAAGGTGCCTTGGCACCCCATGTTTCAGATGATAGACCTGATTTGCAGCTGGGGGCTGGGGAACTGCTTCTATCGGTCAGAACTGTGGATCTGTTCTCCATTTTGAGCTGTTCTACCTCTCATAAAGCCTTATTTCTAACTTAGTGACTTATCTCATTACCACTGACTGATTTTACTTTTTTACTTCCCAGACATTTATGTTCAGTATGTGCACTAATAATACTTGCTTTTAATCTAAAAATGAAAAGTCAGAAAGGGTGAGCATTTGCTCACGTCTGTAACCCTAGTTACTAAGGAAACTCAGATTTGAAGATTGTGGTTCAAACAGCCTGGGCAAGTCCAAGAGACTTTTATCTCCAATTAACCAAATACACATGCACATGCACACACATGCACAAGTGTCATATGTGTGCATGTGCCCACACACAAACACACAGAGTCAAAAGTGGAGTGGTGGCTCAAGTGGTAGAGCATTAGCCTTGAGCTAAAAGAAGCTTAGGGACAGTGCTCAGGCCCTGAACAATACATACATACATACATAAATACATTAATGGTAAGCATCTGGAAGGTCTTGTGAGAAATCACAGAATCCAGGAGTTCATTTTCCCCAAGGTAGGCCTTTTTTATATCTATAGATTGTTGAACACTAGTCCCAGATGAAAAAATAAACAATAAAAATGATAAAACCCTGAAAATCATAATTAAGAAGTTAACCACTGGACATTGATCAAAATGAACTAATCAACTCAATGGCAGTGACGGGAGGGAGCGAATGAGTGGGAAAGAGGGAACAGCTGACACTAAGCAAAAGGAAAGAAATGTACATATCACCCAATGTGGAAGAATAACTGTATTGTCAAAGCTCATAGAACTCAAACTATTTAGATCACAATAAAGACAATTTGCCCCATGAAAGTTAGAATGTGTTTGTGACTTTAAGTGTCACTATACCACACTACTGTGAAATTTATGTAATTACTTAATCACAATAAAAAAATTGCAAAAAAAGTTAATCATTTCTATTGAAATAAAGACCACTAAAAATGGCACATGTTACATGCTTGATACATGCATGAAATCCTTTGGATCACATACTCACATTCATGCCTTCATCTGCACTGGGAGGGGGATAAGCAAGAGCATCTCTTCTGCACCATTAACAAATGGCAAAACAGTCTTAGGACAGAGAAGTAGACTTTGGTCTATCCACTCAAACCTAGTTTTAATTTTCAGTTCTGAATCTTTGTAACTAAGCTGGCTATGCCTTCATGTCCTTAGATTAAATGCCAAGTCTTCTCCAACATCGTCATGAGGATGAGATCTGATACCATTCAACATGGTATTTGGGATACAGAGGAACTAAAAGGACAGTGGGCTCCTTAATCTGCCTTGAAGATCACACAGTAAAGCAACAGAATTCACACTATAAAAAGCAGAATGAGACAGAAACCTGTGGTTCTTAAGCATCAGGAAGTCATGGTGTGGCTAGATATGTGTCCACTGATTTGATCAATCTCTAATCTAGATGGTTTCTGAGAAGGTATACTTTAGATGTAACTTAGACTTAAATCAGTACACTTCCAGTAAAGCAGATTACCCTGTATAATATGGGTGAGTCTCATTTAATCAGTTGAAAGTCATAAGAGTAAACACAGGTCCTGCAGGAGAGGAGGAATTCTGCCTTCAGTTTGCCTTCAAACTCAAGACTGTAAAATCAAAACTGGCTGGAACTTCCTACTTGCCTATCTTCCAAATTCAAATTTATTAAACTGTAAAATCATGTAAGATAACTCTTTAATATAACTCTCTTTCTTGCTCCATGCACATCCATATACACACAGGTCCTCTTTCTCTATTTACATACATATATGCATGTTTTATCTCTATATATACTTATATGTGTATGGATATATGTGTGGTATGTTTTGTCTATATGGGCTCTTCTATTGGTTCTGTTTATTTGAATAAACAAATTTATTTTATCAATATTAGCAAGTAGTACTACTGTAAGATTATTTGACAGCTACTTTTGCCAGGAAGTAAGTTAGCCAGTTTGTGCTGTATATAAGAATTTGTGGAAACAAAATTTAAAAAAAAAAAGAATTTGTGGAAACAGTTCCAAAGTCTTGCTAAAAATATTTAAAGTATACTGTGGCTGCCAATGGAGGTGTATAAAGTCATTTCAAAAGCAGAACTAACACACAGTCAACTGCTCTCTTATAACTCTTCCCATATTCCAACTCCTTGATTAATCCTTAATACTATACAGAAAACTGATTTGAGCTGATCGATCCATAACCCTGGACAACTTCTACTTTGCAACCCAAATCAAAATCTCAAGCAACGCCAAAATGGACCATGGATGAAATAAAAATATACCATTGTCAGTAATGAGAAATGAAGTTCTTTTTCCTGCAACTAGTAAAAATCAGTTATAAATCACTAGTAATTGTCCTGGCAAATACAAGATCATAGGGAATGAACTTCTAAATAGTAAGCCACATTATAAGTACCAACTTCACTCAGGGGCTAATTCCAAATGTAATTAATGCATCATTACTCTAAAAACAAATCCCTATACTATTGCATCTGTACTGAGTCACTTACTTATCTGTAACAGTCCCAGGTAAACAAAAGGAAATGCAGCGAATCCATTCATGCATTCTTTTCCTTAAGCCCAAATTTAGACTGGAATGACCAGAACCCTAACTTGTAGGTTTCCCATGTCTAATCATATGGCCACAAGGACTGGTAGGAGCTCCACAACATTACTTGAACAACATCAAGACCTCATCTGGCTGGGATCCGGTAGATATCATCTATATCCTAATCAGGACACTGAGATCTAAGGATCATGGTTCAAAGTCAGCCCATGTAGACAAATCAGAGAGATTCTTATCCTAATTAGCCATCAGAAATCCTGGTCTGTAAGTGTGGGTCTGAACTCTGTGAGTCTTAAACACTTCATGGAGAAGGATAGTAATTAGAGTTCATTTGCACTGCCAGCACAGCACGTTATGATCAAAAGGCATTCTGTATTCTTGCTTAGGAAATATCAGCCAGTGGCAAGGGTTTTTCTTCCAGTCCACCAAGCAAAAGTTATGCAGCCAACTAGGGACAGAAACGCTCTGTCCCTCCTACTCACTAGGGGGTCCCTTTTCTGTAGCACCACCCCCCCCCCCCCCCCCCGCCTCCTCAACTTGAGGTTGCTGCTGAGGTAAGAGTATAGCTTCAGATTCATACACATGGCTTCCAAGAAAAATGCAGATGTAAGACAATGCTCATTTTCCAAGGGGCTAGAAACAGGAGATGGGGATCACCATAGTCCATCTGGACAAAATCCCATTAACTTAAGTCCAAATGAGAATCTTCAAATGAAACTACTGTTCCATTACACTTACCCAGGCTTTAAACAGGCCTCCAAAATGCTTGGTGTGGTGTTCTGTTGTATAATAAGTGTATATTATTCCATATCCTTCATTTCCTATTCTACATAATGGAGACTGTTCTGGTATCAAAGGAAATGATGAATAATAATACTGAACATCTGGTTTATAAAACACAAACTTGCTCAACGGATTGACTGCTTCCTGTCAGCTTCCCAAGTTAATCATGCATGTGGGCTCATATGAATATGCATTCGGACTTATGTGCGAGGTCTGTGCAGCCATGCCAGGCCTCTGCTCTTAATGCCTGATGAGTTTCCCATGGATGGCACCAGTCAAGAATGTGGCCAGCCCTCGGGTGTGGCCCCAGCTAGCATAACACTACCAGATTTGTGGTCTCTCCACTTTGCTGCCGGCTTGTCATTACTATTCATTGATTTCCTTACTGAACTTCCCTTAAGCCTTGGCTGTGTGCCAAGTTTCATGTCATGAGCTGCAAAGACAATTAGGAAGAAGACCTGGGTCTTATCCCCCGGGAATATGAAGCCCACTTGGGGTGATAGCAAAACTAGTGAGGTGAAGGAGGAAGAGCTGGTAAGGTTTGGCATGCTGGCTCTCATCTTCTTCCAGTCTAACTTGAACTAAGGTCAACATTTCTGGTATTTGTCAAGGCTCATGTGACACATTCAGAATGCTTCCTAAAAAGCAGATTTATCAGTAGGGAAAATTCCATCTCATTTCATTTTCCTTATACTAATGCCACTTTGAAGTAAGGTAGACATGGTAGAATTACTTAGCACCTTTGTTTTTTCTTTCTCTTCAGGTATCATCCTCCTTTACAGAACTCCTCTTGAACCCCTCCAATCACAACATTTCTATGGCAGTTAATTTTTCTTACCCAGAATGTGTAGCTACACACCCAACCCAGCTGTTCCATCCAGAGCAGTGTGTGTGTGTGTGTGTGTGTGTGTGTGTGTGTGTGTGTCTGTGCACATCTATACTATCCAGGCCACACAGATTAGCTTAGTAATCAAACACATGATTCAAGCCAAGTTCCCTGTGATTTCTTTTCTTTTCCTTTGTTTTCTATCTAGAGCTAATGGCAAAGATTCTCTGCTCTGTCTTTATGGGTGGTTATAAAAATTTAAGTCTGAGCTGAGTGTGGAGGCTCACACCTGTAATCCTAGCTCGTCAAGACTAACTGGTTCAAGACTGGCCTGGGCAAAAAGTTTGGTAGATACCTCCTGGCCAATACAAATCTCAGGGCAGTGGTGTATGTCTGTGATCCAACTATTTGAGAAAAGGAAATAAAAGGATCAGAGTTCAGGCTGACTTGGGCAAAATATAGAACCCTATTTGAAAAAATAACAAAAGCAGGCCAGGAGATATGACTCAAGTAGTAGACCACCTGCCTAGCAACCATGAGACCCCCAAGTTCAAACTCTAGTACTGTCAAGAAAGATAAGGAATATAAGC